CTTTAAGCCAAATTAACATAAGGAAGCATCACTGAATATCGACAAAGTCCAAGCCAATGTGGCCCTAAATCTAATATTGATGTAAAATTCATTATTGATCGTCTTTTGAGTTCATATTTGGACACTCACTGAAAGAAAATATGAAACTAGGGACACTAGTGAAGTAATGCTTTAACAAGGAAAGGGGAGGTAAATTATGTATGACTGGGGATGGGGGACTATAAAGAAACAACAGCGTGTCATGTTTTATTTCAATAAATTCACTCTGACTGGGGATTCCATATCCCCAAGGAAGATGTATCAAATAACCAAATAGGTGCTGCAAATAAAAATAACATATATATAAAAAAGATCTACATGTATATCAATCTCTACCCAGAGGTCCCAGAGTTGTCGTTCGCTTCGCTACAACACGTGTGGAATGATAACTCTCGGTAGAGATTGCATGTGTACGTAAATCAAATATTCAGATGACTGTCAATGTAAGAGATTTACTGGAAGTACCTGTATTTGAGTGAAGCTGTAGGACAGAGAGAGGGGGCTGATATAAATAAAAGAGAAATGTAAAGAAATCTTAGGGAAGTAAAAAAAAATTCAATGGACAATGTCTGTAATTTGGGAAATATTTGCGCAACTCTTAGGGTCTTGATTGTAAGCAATGTCAGTATTTTAAGACCAACAAACAAGTCATCGATAAATATTCATGCACAACCAGAGTCACAAAGACTCTCCGATATTGCATTGCTGGTATACTTTCTATCTTGCTATCAAAAAGGACCCCTTGATAAAAATCTTCTTCATATTATTCCCTTCAGACAACTGATTCATATGTTTGATATCACTGGTGACAAGTTCAATAGTGGCTTGGCCGTGTGTCGGGAGATGGAACTATAAATAATGTCTAGATCGGGCCTGTCAGTCCTATCTCAAAATACTCAGGATCAGCTCCTCAGATTTTAAGAGTGTAACGGTAGGCAAGAAATAAATCTTTTATTTAATTCACTTAAAGATACTTCAGTAATCTGCAGTGGCATTGTTACGCTATAATAAATGCAGTGTACAACCTTTTAAAGAGGTTATCTATGGGGCGCCGTTTTGGTATTTACTGCCAAAAAAGTGATATCACCTATTTGAATAGGTGATATCACCTATTCAGTTGGTGATATCACCTATATAGGTGATATCTATGGCAAGCCAAAATCACAAAAATGAGCAAAACATAGTTTAACAGTCGATAAACTCAAAGGTTTATTGGTTGTAAACTATAGTTTACGGACTGTAAACTATAGTTAACAACGATAATCTATATTTTACATTTGTAAACCATAGTTAACGCGATAATCTATGTTGCACAACCGTAAACTATACTTCAAGCCAAAAACAATCATTTATGATTGCAAAACATAGATTATCTGATAAATACAGTTTCACGATTGTAAACTATGGTTTACTACTCTTAATTATAGTTAACGATCGTAAATTATAGCTTACAGACGTGAATCTATGTTTATCAACCAAATCTATTGTTAACGTTTTATTACAGACAGATAAACTTAGATTAGCATTTGTAAACAATAGTTAACAACCATTAAATATAGTTTTACAACTGAAAACTATACTTAACGAATTGTTAACTATAGTTCACGGTTTGTTTACTAAAGTTTACAGTCGATATACCTAGTTAATCAATTGTGAAACTATGTTTAGCATGCAAAATTCACAAAAATGAGCTAATCATAGTTTCTCAGTCGATAAACTAGGTTTATTTTTGCTAAACTATAGTTTACGGACTGTAAACTATAGTTAAACTGTAAACTATAGTTAACAACGTTAATCTATATTTTACATTTGTAAACCACATAGTTAACGTGATAATCTATATTTCACAACCATAAACTATACTTAACATCAAAAACAATCATTTGCAATCGCAAAACATAGATTATCTGATAAATACAGTTTCACAATTTGTAAACTATGGTTTACAACTCTTAACTATAGTTAAAGATCGTAAATTATAGTTTACAAACATGAATCTATGTTTATCAACGAAATCTATTGTAAACGTTGTATTACAGACAAACTTGCTTAGCATTCGTAAACTATAGTTAGCTACTGTTAAATATAGTTTTACAGATGAAAACTATACTTATGGCACGCCAAATTCACAAAAATGAGCAAAACATAGTTTCACAGTAAATAAACTAGGTTTATCGGTTGTAAACTATAGTTTACGGACTGTAAACTATAGTTAACAACGTTAATTACATCTGTAAACTATAGTTAACGCGATAATCTATGTTTCACAACCGTGAACTATACTTAACACCAAAAACAATCATATGCGATTGCAAAACATAGATTATCTAATAAATAAAGTTTCACGATTGTAAACTAAGGTTTACAACTCTTAACTATAATTAACGATTGTAAATTATAGTTTACAGACGTGAATCTATGTTTATCAGCAAAATCTATTGTTAACGTTTTATTACAGACAGATAAACTTAGATTAGCATTCGTAAACTATAGTTAACAACCGTTAAATATAGTTTTACAGGTGAAAACTGTATTTAACGAATTGTAAACTATACTTCACGATTTGTAAACTATAGTTTACAGTCGATAAACCTTGTTTATCAATTGTGAAACTAGGTTTAGCACGCCAAATTCACAAAAATGAGCTAATCATAATTTCACAGTCGATAAACTAGGTTTATCGGTTGTAAACTATAGTTTACGGACTGTTAACTATAGTTAACAACGTTAATCTATATTTTACATTTGTAAACCATAGTTAACGCGATAATCTATGTTTCACAACCATAAATTATACTTAACACCAAAAACAATCATTTGCGATCGCAAAACATAGATTATCTGATAAATAAGGTTTCACGATTTGTAATCTATGGTTTACAACTCTTAACTAAAGTTAGCAATCGTAAATTATAGTTTACAGACGTGAATCTATGTTTATCACAAAATCTATTGTTAACGTTTTATTACAGACAGATAAACTTAGATTAGTATTCGTAAACTATAGTTAACAACAGTTAAATATAGTTTTACAAATGAAAACTATACTAAAGGAATCGTTAACTATAGTTTACGGTTTGTAAACTATAGTTTACAGTCGATATACCTAGTTTATCAATTGTGAAACTAGGTTTAGCTAAATTTTGTGAATTTGGCGTGCCATATATACTTAACGAATTGTTAACTATAGTTCACGGTTTGTAAACTATAGTTTACAGTCAATAAACCTAGTTTATCAATTGTGAAACTAGGTTTAGCTCATTTTTGTGAATTTGGCGTGCCATAGATATCACCAATTCAAATAGGTGATATCACCTTTTCGATAAGCGATATCACCTATTCGAATAGGTGATATCACCTATTTGATTTGAATTGGTGATATCACCTTTTCGAATAGGTCATATCACCTATTCGTGCTGAATAGGTGATATCACCTATTCGAATAAGTGATATCACCTATTCAAATTGAATAGAATAGGTGATATCACGTATTCAAATGATTTATAAAATAACAACAGCTCCCAAGACTATAGGTCCCTAAATCTTATTTTCTTTCACTTTAGTTTTATAACACATCATTCTAGGAGACAATAGCTTACAGTTTTGCATTTAATCTTAATAGAAATTGTAGTTTGTTTTGCTCACAAATTAATTTATTTCACTAATCTATCAAGTAAACTTTAAGAAAAATTGGAAAAACGCATGAAAACTGGGTAGTCCAAATTTCCTTGGTTCCAGTGGTTATCTGTATATTATAGGGAGCATTCATTACTTAATGTTGTACGAAATTCAAATAGGTGATATCACCTTTTCGAATTGGTGATATCACCTATTCAAATTGAATAGGTGATATCACCTATTCCAATAGGTGATGTCACTTATTTGAATAGGTGATATCACCTATTCAGCACTAATAGGTGATATCACCTATTCAGCACGAATTGGTGATATCACTTATTCAAATATGGATGGAAATATCAAAATCTGGATATTAAAGTTTATTCTCTGAAAGGTAGAAGAATAATGACCTTGATTGTGGTAGAAAATTGCTACAGACATTGTTGTGCCAGATAGAAATTTTTTGTTAGACTGGACTCATACCTTTACATGAGCACCCCCCTAGACCCCCAGAACACCTGAATTCCAAGCCTACTATCAATGTTTGCTGCTTTATTAGTTAACTTTGTTCCTGCTAACAAACAAGACCATATGTTTCAGGATTCTCTATAGTCAGGAAATATGGCTTTTAATTAAAAATTTTCATAAAAATTTCATGAAAGCACTCATTCTGTTTCCTATCCCATTATATGAAAGAGACAGAACAATGCTCTTTGAAGTACACAAACATGAGTGTTCAGTAAATCACTAAATGGCATAAACCTATGCAAGAATGTTTATTGACCAAAAATTTCTTTGGTGTTCTCAAAGTACAAGACACATTTTAGTTTTCTTTATTCTGCATTTGTCAATTTTATTTCAGAACAAGGTAACATGGTAACTAGGCCTAAAGAATAGAACGGATGCTGATGGCTAGTGGTTGATCAATGATACCGGTATGATGATAGATATATATTCCACTTCATTACAGAAATATCAAACAATATCAATGGAATATCCATAAATATTTAATCTTGACATCATTCAAAAGGGAGATAAATCAGTGGTCATCATTACCACGTGCAGTACGTCTTTTTATATTTGAATTTTAAAGAGAAAGCTTGAATAAATGCCCCATCATTTAAAAAATTTGAATCAAAATATGTATCTGAGTTATAATCGTCATGAACTTTTTCCAATGAAAGATGTATGTTTATCTCCTGAAAAAGGATATCCTAATACTATGAAATTTGAAATTCCCAAAGATGTAAATATTGAGCTAAAGTTGATTTATTGAAGTGTGTGAATTGTTGATGTGTGAATTCTAACATTTCCAAAATTGGTGAAATATTAAAGTGACTCACCATACTTCTCTGCATAGATGGCCACAGTGCTCAAAAGCACCGCTGCAGCAAAGGTATTATTCAGATTCAGAACGTCATTCATCGTCAGCACAGCATTAAAGCTGCAAATACTAATTCTATTTTACCTGAAAATTGAAACAATACACAAAAATACAACATCAAGTTTTACCAACTCTGAATTTTTTTATACCACCAACAGAAAATTTTGACCACCATGAGTTCTTTGTTAGAGTTGTTTCAGTAAAATATTGTCCACATTGAAGTAAAGTAGATTATCTGTTAGTATTAAGGTATATCACTCGTGAAATTTGTTAAATCAAGGATTTATTGAGATGTATATTTTGGATAAGTACTCATAAAGAGTGACTCAAAATCGACGAGGAAATAGGGGGGGTCAGTGTTCATCTTACTGATCTACGGTAAAATGAAGTTGACCTTTTTGCACTTAATTTTAACTCTTTGGTTAATTAGTTAAACCTTTATTATATTTTATCAAACGTAACCATGACAAAAAATATGATCTTATTTTACGTAAAATATTTTGAATAATATTTATCATTGAAAAAATTGTGCAAATTAATGCGCGTAAATAATTGTGTGACCTTTTTGCACTAAAAAGTAACATATTTTGGCGTATTAAAAAACTAAATAGGCAATAAAACATTTTCTTAAATCAAGCTTTTTACAACTTATGTGCTGATCAGTCACAAGTATCGAGTACTTTAAAATAATGAAAGAAAAAGTTGGGGTCAGTGATGTTACTTTTGATATATTGGTCAAAATATGTGATTTTAAGGCAAAAAATGATGTAATTTTATACTGACTTATTTGACATCTCTTCATTTTTTGGCAAAGTTTGTTGAGGGAAGGTATAAAAGTTGTTCTAAAAATATAAATTGAGACCCATATTTAATATTCCTAGCGTATCATAACGGAAAATATTCTCCGAGTAAAGTTAGGAGAGGCTAAAGTTTCAAAATATTAAATTGAATAAATGTGCAAATTTGCAGAATTTTATACTAAATATCCTTCCACCACAAAAAATAGTCCGTCATGAATTTTGCTTTTTTGTAAATTTTTGAGCAGTTTTTTCATTGAATGTTAAAACATTAACATTGTTGAAATTAAATATGTTTGCGCACGGTGTTGGTATGTATTGACGTTACGTCAAAATAACATTAAAAAAAGTCATAACGTTGTTATAACGTTTTGAACCTTACACATGCATATTTTAGATCTTAAAATGAATATTATTTTTCAAAAAAATAAAAGGGCACATATAATGTCCATGCAATGTTTGAACCTTCAATTTGAAATAATTAGATGTTTATTAATAAATAAATTGTAAATTTTAATTACTGAAAAGTCAAAGGCATTCAGTAAATATCCTTTATTCCTCTTCCTACTTGTTTCTCACTTTGTTCTGTCTGTCTTATAAAGAGAAAACACATAAGTAGTTTTTCCTTTCAACCTAGCTCCTTCAATTTTTTTTTTTCAGTTAGGTCATCACAAGTTTTCTATTTCTATATAGCGTTCACATGCGCCTTGGGTGTATAGTATGGCAAGCCCTTTTACTATTTATTCGTGAAATAAAAAATTTCTCTCAATAAGAGAGATATCTCTCTAGCATAGAGAGATATCTCTTTAGCTTATAGAGATATCTCTTTGACTAAAAGAGATATCTCTTATACTAATAGAGAGATATCTCTTTAAACAAAAGAGATATCTCTTATGTGAGAGAGATATCTCTTTTTACTTAGAGAGATATCTTTATAAGCTGAGAGAGATATCTCTTTAAGCTAGAGAGAGGTATCTCTTAAAGTTAGAGAGATATCTCTTTAACAAGGTTAAAAGAGATATCTTTCTTAGTTAGAGAGATATCTCTTTAGATTTTCAAAAAGAGATATCTTTGTAAGCTAAAGAGATATCTCTTTTCCAGTGATGCTTAAAATAGAATAATTAATTCTCCACTTTAAAACGAAAGCGAAACAGGAAGTAAAGTCTCTGGAATAGTTTCGATGTTATAAGAAAAAAGACTGAGTGCTCAATTAGCAATTACCCAGAATAATATATGTACTGTAGACAAAAATGCTATAAAAATTCTTTTTTGAAACAACAAATAATAATGGTAACTTCGTTGATAAAAATGCGTTTAATATTCAGGAAAACGAAAGTAATTAAGCATATATTTAATCTCAAATACAACTGACCGAATTTTCTCAGCTTATGAAATAATCAACTATTTCTAATAAAAACACTGAATTACTTCCATTTTTAATAAAGATATAATAAAAAGCTTACTTCCGGTAAAGGGAGAAGTAATTTCAAATGGAATTTTAATAAAAATAATACAGAAAGATATCTTTTTGCAATTAAGAGATATCTCTTTTCGAGATATCTCTTTTAGACACTTTTGAAAGATATCTCTTTCACTTTGAGAGATGTCTCTTAAGATAAACTAAGAGAGATATCTCTTTTACTTTAAGATATATCTCTTTAACTTGGAAAGATATCTCCAAAAGTAAAAGAGATATCTCTCTAGGTGAAAGAGATATCTCTTTAACGTTTAGAGATACTGTAGATTCCTTATTTTTTCGCGAGTACTTTTTATCGCTAACTGGCTCTTAAACGTCAAATCGCGAGAATTATAATTCGCGAATGGACGGTTGATCAATAGATTTTACATAGATTTCAGCACTATATAAATAAAAGCGAGTAATATTTTTTTGCGAGGGATGCTTCTCGCTAAATTACGCGGAAATTAATTCTCGTTTAATTAGGAAATATCTCTTTTAAAAAAAGAGATATCTCATTATTTTCTAAAAGAGAAAAAGATGTCTTTTCAAATGGAAGAGATATCTCTCTAACAAGAGGCCCAGGGGCCACAGCGCTCACCTGAGCACATCGGCTAAACAAAAAGCACATATCAGATCAGAACTGAAAGTTTACTGGGGAGGGGGGGGTTGAATTTTAACCCCCCAGGGGGTCATGATTTGAACAAATTAGAATCTACACTACCTGAGGATGATTCCATTTAAATAGAAAAATATCACTAATCATGGCTTTGAAGTAATTGAAAAGAAGATTATAAATATATATATATCCCTATGTAAAATTTTTCGGCCATTTTGGCCCCACCCTAGCCCCAGGGGTCATGATTTGAACAAAGATGAATCTACACTACCTGAGGATGATTCCACATGAGTTTAATCTTTCCTGGCCCAGTGGTTCTAAAAGAAGATTTTTAAAAGATTTTTCTATATATTCCTATGTAAAACTTTACCAAGATAGCAGGGGTGAAAGATTTGAACAAAAGAATCTAAACTACCTGAGGATAATTCCACATGAGTTTCATCTTTCCTGGCCCAGTGGTTCTTGAGAAGAAGATTTTTAAAAGATTTTTCCTATATATTCCTATGTAAAACTGTAAACTATATATCCTGTGTTGCTGTGCATGAAAAAAATGTCATTTTTACTTTTAAACATTATATATTTGAACAAACTTGAATCTACACTACCTAGGATGATTCCATACAGTTTCACTTTCCTGGCAAAAGTATTTTTGATAAACTTAGAAGATTTTTTTTAAAAAATTTTTCTCTAATAAATTATTATCTACTTGAAAAGCAGTAAAAATTGCATTTATGTTTTTGCGAAGTATTTTGCACAGTGAATAGTAGTAGGCAAGGGCCATTGACAAATTAGTGGTTCTTGAGAAGAAGATGAAAATGTGAAAATCACACACGACAAATCGACTACGACCTTGACAACACGACGACAACAACGACAGACTTAACGAAGAAAATTTTAATTGTGAAAACTGTAATGAGCCTTAAGCGGGTCATTGTCATTAATCAAAACAATATAAAATCTCTCTCAGGTGAAATCTCTCAATCAAGAGATATCTCTTTGTAATTGAAGGCTTGATATCTCTTAAATGAGAGATATTTTTTTAAGTTGAGAGATATCTCTATTTTTTAAGAGATATCTCTTTAAAATGAGAGATATCTCTGTAATTTTAAGATAAATTTTATTTTCTGAATAAATAGTAAAAGGGCTTGCCATAGTATAGAGAAAAAAAATGATCTAATAAAAATTGAATTTTGATAAATAGTTTTGAAGCAAGAGGTTCTGCGTGAAATTTTCCAAAAAATTGACGAGTGACCTACCTTTTAAGTATTTCTCAAACAAATTAGCATCCACAGTGATGCGGTAGTAGTACAGTGTAAGCTTTTATACGCTCCCTCATTAAATTTTGCACATCTAGTTTTGCACATCGCTGACGTCATGGAACGGGCGACAGTCACCAAAATATCAATGAGGAGAAAGGGGGCGGATCACACCGCAGGGGGTGTAATTCTTTTTTGAAATACGATTAATAAAAAAAATGAGGCGGACCACACCACAGGATTTTATGACGTATAACCGGTAAATTTAAGAATGAATAATTGATACAGTGTATGTATATATGTGATTGTTTTAAATACAATATATTCAATTTCTTTATTGATTCACCAAACATGTTGGCATACAACCATGTTATATAACTTCATTTTGTAGGGGGAAAAATGTCTTGTAACGGGATTATATATTAACAGCACACGTTTATTTATTTGATAGGGTGACATGTATGGTATGTCATACTGAGCGACATAAGAGATATGAAAAATGTGTGTACAAAAAATATGAACAGCTGTTAAAAGTTGTACTTCTATAAGCCATACGCAAGAGTTTTTAACAATGTTGTAGTTATACAACACGTCGGATACACTGATATTTATCATTACAGTGGTGAAAAACCGATGAACACTGTGACGGAGATCCCCGCTGTGTGTATGGCTTATTAAAAGTTCGATGTGGACAGCACTTTACGCGTGAATTTCAATAAATGAGTTTATTTTGTATTTCATTGTTTAAAGGTACATCCAAAAATACAAAATTTATACAATTTTGATCTGATACTTTGGAATAGACCTATATAAAACCTTCAAACTAGTTCTTCATCACGAAAATGTGATCAAAATCCAGGATCCGAAGCAAGTTTAAGAGTTTTCATCCCTTAATGCATCATTTGGGCAAGTTTGGTTTATTTAAGCCTTATAGTTTCTTGGTGATAGACCTGCACCCATATCTTTTACCTGGTCCATTATCTGGAAAATGTATGTCGATCAATTCAGCATCCGGAGCAAGTCCATCAGTATGCATCCTAAGATGTATCATCCATGCGAGTTTGCACAACATAGGGCTAATAGTTACTTAGAAATAAAACCTGCATAAAAATTTAACCTCTTCACTCATCCGTAAAGAAATGTAGGTCAGATTCAGCATCTGAAGCCAGCCTGGTAGAATGCAACCTTAGAAGTATCATCCATGCAAGTTTGGTCATTAAAGAGCTCATAGTTACATGGAAATGAATCCTGCATCAAAAACTTTAACCTGTTCACTCATCCAGAAAATGTAGGTCAGATTCAGCATCCGAAGCAACTCTGGTAGTATGCATCCTAAGATGTATCATCCATGCAATAGTCATTAAAGGGCTCATTGTAACTTGGAAATGAAACCTGCATCAAAAACATTAACCTGTTCACTAATCCATAAAAAGTAGGTCAGATTCAGCATCCGAAGCATGTCTGGTAGTATGCATCCTAAGATGTACCATCCATGCAAGTTTGGTCATTATAGGGCTCATAGTAACTTGGAAATGAAACCTGCACCAAAAACTTTAACCTGTTCACTCAACCGGAAAATTTAGTTCAGATTCAGCATCTGAAGCAAGCCTGGTAATGTGCATCCTTAGATGTATCATCCATGCAAGTTTGGTCAACATAGGGCTTATAGTTACTCGGAAATGAGACCTGCATCAAAAACATTAACCTGTTTCACTCAATCGGAAAATGTAGGTCAGATTCAGCATCTGAAGCAAGTCTGGTAGTGTACATCCTTAGATGTATCATCCATGCAAGTTTGGTCAACACAGGGCTTATAGTTACTAGGAAATGAGACCTGCACCAAAAACATTAACCTGTTAACTCAACCGGAAAATGTAGGTCAGATTCAGCATCCGAAGCAAGCCTGGTAATGTGCATCCTTAGATATATCATCCATGCAAGTTTGCTCAACATAGGGCTTATAGTTCCTTGGAAATGAGACCTACACCAAAAACTGCACCAAAAATGTTAACCTGCTCCAAAAACATTAACCTGGTCATTCCTTTGCTGAAATTGCAGCATCTGAAACTTTGACTGGTACAATGAAACACATTAGAAGCATCTTCCATGCATGTCTATTCAATATAGGACATAGAAGTACTTAAAAAGAAAACTGCTCCAAAAAACTTAACCTTAACCCGGGACGCCGACGCCGAGGGTATTACATAAGCTCCCCCAACTTCGTTGAGGTGAGCTAAAAACAAACATAATCAATAATCCAGGAGTTTTGAGGGAAACGTTGAAAATCTTCAAATTTCTTTCAAACTTTGTTGCAATTCTGTCAAATTAAGTATTAATTACCACATACTAATGCATCTAGGTATTTTTCTTTTAATGAGAAAAATGAAATCCATTTGTTTGAATGCTGCTCTTTATAGTGTCTAAACGTTGTGTATCATTATGAATTTATTTTTGGGGCTTAAATAAAAGTTCATGTGACCCTCAATGTACCCACTCTCTTTCAAAAACCAGAGAAAGGGGTTGAAACACTTTTCCAATTTTAAGAAGTTTATTAAAAGTTTACCCGTTTTTTGTGTATTTTTTTTTTAAATTAGCATTATCTGGTCTTTCCCATGTTCTTCTTCCTGTTACAGTATATTCGGTGTAATTGTATGGAATTCCATATACGACAGCTAACTGCTTACTGCCAACTGCTCACTGCTTACTGCCAACCGTCAGCTGTTTACTGCTAACTGCCACAAATATTTGAATATATTTTATATTTATATGAATTTAAAAAAAAAAAAACAGGCGCGGATCCAGGACATTTTTTTTTCCAACAGGTCACCCTGGTAAAATTAAATTGACTAAGTGACCATTATGTTTTAATTTATGTAATGTTCAATATACAGTGTATGCCATTGATAAAGTACATTGTTTATTTTTATTTTCTTATTTCAAATAGGTAATAAAATGACTATTTTATGCTTTTAATTTTAAAAGAAGTAACACCCCCACCCCCACCCGCGCGGAGACAACACAAAAGAGAAAATAATAAAAAAAAAAAAATATTTGTCGTTTCGCAGATAAAGATGTTTTGAAAATAAATTTATATTTTTCATTATATTCTATAGTTAAAAATTTCCTCAAATTAAAGATGTACATCTCTGTATGTTTTAATATTTCACATGCAAATATCTTGGGAGTGGGCTGGGGGGCATTTAAAATTTGTACAGTCATGGGTTAATGTATAAACTAAACGAACTAAAACTGATCTTGGACTCTCCACGTAGAAAACGCCGATCAAACATTTATATCTCTTTGTTTTTACAAATAAGACATGTTTTACATGCATAGATCTAGAGAGAGAAGTCCGGACCACCTCTCTGAAATTTGTAACGTTATTTAATGCACTAACTAAACCAACTAAAAGTTATTCAATGTATAAAATAAATCAACTAAAGGGGACCTTAGAACTCCCCCCTCCCCCCGAAAATGCGGTTTCGTGTTAAGATGGTATAAAAAATGTCATAGACATGAAGGTATGACGCATGAAAACCCCCTCTCCCCGGCCGAAATAAATTTTCACATTAAGGAGAGGACTTTACGTTTTTTTTTCTTGTCAAGAAATTTCTGGTTTGGATTTTTTTTTTTTAACAAGAGTGACCCTCTTGGAAAAAATGTTCTAGATCCGCGCCTGTTTTTTTTTTGTTGTTGTTGTTTTTGTTGTTGTTTTTGTTTTATTTTGGGGTTTTTTTTGTTTTGTTTTTTTTTTTTTTTTTTTTTTTTTTGTTTTTTTTTTTTGTTTTTTGTTTTTTATTTTGGTTTTGTTTTTTATTTTTGTTGAAAAATTCACATAAATATCAATATAAAAATAAAATTTATTCAAGTATGTGTGGCAGTTAGCAGTTAGCAGCTGACAGTTGGCAGTAAGCAGTCAGCAGTTGGCAGTAAGCAGTTGGCTGTCGTTTATGTGAATTGTCAAAAAAAAAAAAAAAAAAATCAAAATTAAAAAAAAAACATGGATCCAGGATTTATTCCAGGAGGGACCCACCCCAATAAAAATAAATCGAACTCAGAAATTTCTTGACAAGAAAAATAACGTAAAGTTTCGTAAACGTGAAAAATTATTTAGTCGGTGTGGATGGTTTAAAAAATTATGCACCATATCTTCATATCTGACTTTTCATACAAATTAACTTAATACAGATCCGCGTTTTCGGGGGACAGGGGTGTTTCAAGGTCAGATTTAAGTACTTATTCTAAAAATCATTGACAAAAAGTTAATTGCTCTTATGTATAACTCCTTTAATAAGGGGTAGATTTAATCAATCGAAATCAGACTGAACATATCATCAGATCTTCAAATACTAATGAAAATGGATTAACGACTCCTTAATCTCATCGTTTGTTTTTATTAATGTAGAATTAAGATATGAGATTGATAAAGTATACTATTTTTTATTTGTTATCTTACAAAATGACTATTTTCCCGTTTTTAATCCCCCCCCTACATGAGACAACAAAATCTTTGGAAAGGATAAAAACTGAAAAAAAAGGATTTGTTGTTGATTCACAGGGGAGTTATTTTAAAAATAGATTTCAATTTCCCGTTAATTTTGAACCTTTGATATTTTTTCTCAAAGATTTATATCTCTACAAACTAAACCAACTGAAATTTATATAATGCATAAATTAAAAGGGACCTTGCCCCCCCCCCCCCCCCCCCCCAACGCGGATCCGTGTTTAATTCAATAAGTAAGTAAGTAAATTGTTTATTATAGTGACATGTGTTATATAGTACAATGAAAAACATTTAATACAATTAATATCCAAACACCCGGCCCATCGGACCTATATGTCACTTTTAACAAAATATATGAAAAATATATTACAAATATTACGCATGGCGTTTTTTTATACAACAGAGATTGTCGGTGCATGTATGAAAGGTATAAATATTTTGGTCTGCCTGGGAAAATTTGTTAAAAGAAAATTTACACTATCTTGAACTGACATAGACAAAGATGGGTTACATCTAATACTAGTAAATAAATCTGCTCTGAAATTGGAATATTCTGTACAATTTAATAAAAAGTGATACTCGTCTTCTATTTCATCTTTAGAACAAAAATTACATAAACTATCTTCTAATGATTCTCCTTTATAT